GCTAAATACAGCCCGTTATAGTGCTTTCGTATTCTATTCAGATCAGGTCATCTTTTTACTTGAAACGTTGAAAGATTTTTTTCATATGCATATCCAAAATTTCCGGATCTTCAGTGTAACATTTGTTGTATATAAATTACTGAATGGGTTATTATAGCAACGAGACCATGTTGCTTTTTTGTTCAGAAGAGTAAACGTACTAGGTATATATATGACGGCCAGTAAAGATCAGTCGAAAACGATGACATACTGTGCCGACCCCCAATAAATAGAATAAAGGCAAGGCAATGACGACTGATTTATATTATTATTTTGTATAGATCGGCATTTTTTTATTTGCCAAATGATATTAAAATGACATATTTACAACTTTCCGTAGACTGTTAACTTGTTTGCAAGTCTAAACAAATTACAACACGTCATCGTGTTTATTTGAAATTCGAACAAATTTTAGGTGCCGTACAAGCAAACAAATTTACACGATATTCTTTATGATGTGCTCATGAATAATAATAAATAAACTTAATAATATGTCTGAGCCTCGATGAGGATTTGTGTCTTGATTTTAAACACGATTTCCTTTCTAGATGATATGTGAAGAGTTTCTGTATATAAATCAAAGCAAATTTATTTGTACAGGCACCCATTAGTTAATGAATTTCTAATAATTATATTATGTACAGCGAATATATTAAACAAATATCTAAACCATTTCTCGGAAACCATCGCCGACGTAATAATAGTAGAATCATATGTAGACTTCGTTTTCACCCGTTTTCGCGGGAATTTCTCAATTCTAGTTAATAGTATACACCCTATAAGCAAACCTTTTTTATACATAATTTGATAAGTCTAGTGGATGAATAGACATTAAAAGCAATGTCAATTTAAATAGCTAATTCTATACAGATGATAATTATATATAACTAAAAAAATCGATGTAAGAGATGTCTTGTTCCCTGCCATGTTTGGTTTCACATAAAGTTAAGGAAGTACCAAGTAATGAATTACATTTCCACAAAATTCTATATTCTATTCAAATGTAATAAAAGTTCAAAATAGAACAATACTTAAAATAGGTGTAGTTCTTACTTTAAGTATTGTCTTATTTAAGACGCCGAAAGTAATTTTCTTTATTACATATGTATAATAAAATTATAAAATCGTAACGACGCGAATATTCTCTGTTTGTGTATAATTTTCTAATATAAAAATGGCTGGCGGAATTAAATTGTACTATTCATAGTATATGTATATAATATATTAGATATGGATCAACATAAAGAAATGTACTAAACAAACACCGTTAAAAGAAACAAATTCTTTTGTTCTTTTTATTTTTAATTTTAAGAATGATATCCACAATTTCAGTTAACAATTTCTTTTATTTGTTCTTTAAACAAATAGTAGTAGCTATTGTATAGATGTTTTATATATTGCTATCGTTCAATTCATTGCCGTGATTAGAGTCCGATCTACATAGGCGTAAAAAGTCGCAGGTACTTGTCTTGGATAAGTAGGAAAGATATTGAAAAATATGATACTATCAAACAATGCAATATAAGGCATTTTAGGGCAAGGTTACATGAGTGGCTAATTGTAAATAACTTCTACAGTATAAGGGATACGAACATACATACATACATACGAACTTTGACTTAAATATAGGTTTAATAATATTGTTTAATATTAGTGCAATACTGTGACACGTATTATTTTATTGTGTGTACCTATTATAATGTTTTTAATTAAAAGAAATTTAATGACATATTGTATTTAAATATTTATGATATCAATTTTAATATTTGCATGCCCCTACGGAGTGCTGCATGTCGTGTACTTGCATTATATATTATATTGCAAGATCAAAATTACTATGTAGCAAGTAAATAAATAAATAATAATAATTATTATTATCTATTTCATGAACCGAACAAATGCCAATACCGCCGCTTACTAGGGTAATAGGAAGGCTTTATTACAAAATGACTAGTTCCATAACAAACTATGTCAATAGAATAACCTCGTTAACTTATGGCCGGGCAGGGTTTAGCTAGGATGGGCAAGATTAATAGGTTTCAGAACCGGCTTCATGAAGTTGAGTTAATAAGCTGTCAAGAAATTAATGAGCAAGCTTTGATCGAATACTACTTAGCACAATTTCACGGGCATTTTTAATAGTTTATTCAATGAAAATGTAGTAACAAGTAACAAAATTGAGAAAATAAATAAAATTATTCGTGTGGCAAACACATAAATAATTTATATTATTAGCAATTAATATTCATTTTTAAATATATAATTATATTATTATTATTATAAAATGGTGGAGGACTGCTTCTAAAACGCAGCGTTAGAACCATAAACATCAATTAAACGTTGAGTTATTTTATTTTATTACACTTAATATTATATATTTCGTACGAAAAATTTAAAAAAATATAATTATTTTCATACGAATCCGTTATACTTTAATACTTATTAAAAACATATCTTGATGTTCCTCAATCATGACGTAATTAGGTCTATTTATATTTATATCTACATATGTCGGCAATCAACTTAACTCCAAGAAGTCTGTAAACGAAGACAAATTCTAAACTAAAACTAATTGTTTTCTTAGGAAAATCCTATTTTCGTCGTCAAGCTTAAACATTAAAACAACACTATAGAAACACAGTAACCGTATCGACAGGGTTTGCAACCCTTACGTACCTACTTATACTAAATTTAATTTGATGATAGCAAAAGTATAAATAATTTATTACCAGTAAGACGAACAGAGATACCTAAAAGCGAATAAATACTACTTTAACCTATTACCTACCACGGTTTACCGAATAAAGACATACAGTATTTGCGATTAATATATCTAATACCAATACTCCAAATACTATGCAAAAAAAAGTTCAAAACTAATCAAGACCCTGGTTCGAGCAACTGTTCACGCTGAAATAATGCAATATGCATTCATTTCAGCGTGAACAGTTTTAATTTTAATAAGTTATTTCACCGAAACTCTGTTTGCAATTGGAAACTAAAAGCTCCTCATTTCTCCTCCTGCATTCATCTGATTCTTTGATTAAATAATTTTCAATTACAATTTAATGCAATTTTCTTAGTTTCAAGGTCTCTCAAGGTCAATTCGTATAATCTACACACTTTTCTGAATTACAAATGTGTGTAGCTTACACAAAGGTGAATGACTTCCTTTTTCCCTTTTCTCAAATAATACATATTAAGTTACGACTACGAAACTTTGTACCTTATTGCGAACTAACTGTGCTACTAACTGTACAACTTCCACGTGTGGCTGAGTAATAAGTTGAGCTTAGTAATACTATATAAGTATGCTGTAGGTATAAAGTTACGGAAAAGTTTTGGAATTGATAGCTTTTCGACAAATATTTCGTGATGAAAACTTAACATATAAAAAACGATTCAGTTACACAAACATGTACGTGTTATGAATTCCGAAAACCGAATTAATTGAAGTTCCCGTTCACGTATCCTGACCTATTTGTGTGGAAAATTAGTAGATGTAATAATGACAAAGAAAAGACATTCCGACGACAACAAAATGGATACAAATCTTCAAAGTCTTTCAATCTAAAAATAAGGGTAATTAGAAAGCCACGTCATTACTATAATGCACATGGAACAGCTAAATGTGATTATAATCCCGATACAAAGAAACTAAGAATTATTGTGATATAGATATACTTACGTTCCTTTGTATACCTTTGACGGTCTCGATGGTCTAGCGGTATAACATACCGCCTTAATTCCAATAGTCGCAGGTTCAATTCCTCGCACAGTACAAACATATGTATTCATGAGTATGATTGTTTGTATTGGTGTTTTCTATGTATAATATATGTATTTATGAAAAAAAGTATTTGTATCAGTTGTCTAGTATGTACAAAAGCTTTATTTAGCTTAACTTAACTTAAAATTAATAGGTATTTACTTTTCTAAGCCAATGTCAATAATTATAGATCTGTTACTTTAAAGAATTTGGTCATAAAGTAGCTAATGCTATGAAGTTTTGATCTTTTATTTTTTTTGTTGTAGATAATGCCATCTAGGAAATTTAATAATGAATATAATTCTAATCTCATAAGCATAGAATAATATAACTAATGTAGATATAAACAAATATAATGAAGTCGATAAATATAGCTAATATTTATTCAGTCAGAATATGAAGACATGAAAATGAGGGTCTTTATTTCTAATTCAATTACTCATCAACAAGAGAGTTGCAGCAGATTTGGATGCAAGATCTAGTTAATATCTCAAGCAGAAAAGGCGACTAAATACACTATTGTATTTATAACTGAGATATTATATTATAACAAATCATCTAGGATAGGAAGAATGAGTAGATTTGGGTAACATCTTTCGAATTGGATTTAAAAAGTATTCTTTATTGAACCACATTCTAAACAAAAACATTGAACTAAAATCAGATTATTACCTATTATCCGGAATTCCATTATATACAAAGTATAAAAAAACTGTTACTGTTTATAAATTGGAAGTATTTAACAGGTTAGTATGAGTATTTGGACGTTATAATGTATTAAAAATTAAAAGACTAATAAGAAACACGTGTGCTGTTCTAAAGATTTAGAGCACAGATACCAAAATTCAAGAAACTATATAGTAATTTTATTTTATAATAATTTCCCATACCACCTGATATTATTTAGAGCATAGTTAAACTAAAAATGTCTACTGAAAATAACGCGAAAAAAAAAGATTGATTGACGAAACAATGTAAGAAAATGCAGATGACAATCATATTCCTATTCATTAATCTTGCAGTCTTGTAAACTTCCGTGCAAGATAATAAAGACAAAGCCAACGAAGTTTCCGCAACACAAACAACTGAAATTCCTTTCTACGTATAAATACGCGTTGTATTCAGTGCTCTATACGTAACTGTAACGGGTGTTTATTTACTCGTTAGTGAGAAGGTCATAAAGAAACCTTACCCGTGATCGCCTCTGAATAGGATTATCGCCAGGGATGGTTAAGAAATTTCCGCTCATCTTTGCAAGACAAATGCACAAACACTGACTTTTAGTACACGAAGTTCTTTAAAAATAGCGCGCGATTGCTTCTGATTGAGAAGCGTGCGTACGCGTCTGTGGTTATTCAGCGAATGATCAACCAGTTTATGAATGAGTGACGTTTAATAGTCCCCCTCTCTGCGCCCCCTTATGACGATGCATTGGTCACCGCGTTAACCCCGGACATTCTTGTGTGGGAGTGTCTACGTTCCAATCTAATTGTTACCTAAATATACTGCACTACAATCACCTGTGTGGGAAATTCTTTGAAAAACTGATGGTGATTCGTTGTCTCTTATTGACGATTTCCGTAGCAAGGTTATAAGAGTCGGGATTGAAAATATTATTGGATAATTTCCACAAATACCTACCACACATTTTCTATTTCTTCATCGGACGCCTAAACATTTCAAATGAATGCAATCATAACATTATTAGAGGCGATGAAAATACGATATTTCCTTTGGACTGGAATATCAAAACAAACACATAATGAAACGAAACGAGGTATATTTGAAATACGGATATTTATTTATTTTTTCATAAAAATTCTAAATTCAATAATGTGTTTAAACATGTAACATTTACATATATGCATTTATACAAAGATATATGCAATGTTTAGTGATATTAATACTAAAATTGGAGCGTTACAGACTTACAATGATGCAGATGCATGCGACGATCACATTTTACACTTACAAAATAATATTTACCAAGTATTGTCAAATGGTAAAGGTATAATGTGTGAATACAATTTGTTTGTATTATATTTTGATGAGATTATAATGAATACTGTGCGCTTCTTTTTACACTATCTGGTAATATCTCCATAAACGGTAACACGGGATGAACATAATTTGAATTATACAAATATTTGTAAAATTAAATATACACCGAAATTAATACTGATATATAGTTAGTTTATGCAGATATTACACGATCCCATCAAAACCGCTGCATCCCTTTCACAATACGATGGAAGTATGATTTGTAAGTATTTACAAATGGATGATCCGTTTGGATGAGGTTATTATCATCATTGAAACTATCATCGTCAACAATTTGATTTTTTAAATCGCGAACGAAACGGTTGAATAACTCTCCGGTTTTTAACTATTTAGCTAAAACAATACAAACCTATACCCCATTCAATGCACAAAAATGTATTATTATTAATGTAATATATCTAATACAAATTGTTAAAGCACTGCATTTATTTGATATACATTAATACATTGAATAGAATATGGAGTAAACAATAGAAATTAATAAAAGTAACTATGATTTATTAATTATTATGATTGCGGAATAATTCTATTAATCTATAGTTACACAGACTCAGTCGACTCAGAAATATAAAGTAAAAAAACTCGATTATTTAGAGAGTAAATATATATTATTGAGATTGGACTAGACAAACCACATTCTCTATCTACAGATATGTAATCCATGATAATGCTAATATTTAGAAAATCTTAACTCCGTGTTGGTTAGTGATGTGCTTCAACTACACATCGCATATATTTTCAAAACCACCTGATTTTTTTACTCTAGTTTTTTTATACTCAAGTTTACATGTCCTAAAACACTTATTTCTGGAACTAAATTAAAATTGTATATTTATTTATATATTTCTTTTGCATAATATGTATTTACTTTGTAGATGATCGGGTGATTATTGCGATATTAATGTATTTTTATAATAATATAAAATTTTAGTGTCTATATAGATTTCAATATTTTTGTTATGTTAAAAAATTTGAATGAAATTTGTAAGATTTCTCTAAAAGTATTTATGAAATTTAAGTTTAAATTGAATATATCTATAACAAGTTTATTGAAATTCGTATACTTAGTTTCTTTTTAGTGACGAAGAATGGCAATCAGTAAGAACTCACCCATCCTCCATCAGTTAGGGAAGTGATAAAGTAGACAGAACACGACAAAATAAAAAAAAAACACACTACATTTAATTTAGTTTAATCATCTAAATTAAATCTAGTGTGTATTTTTTTAGCATACAATAATTATTGTTTAGCATACAAGGCAAATTCGAAATAGAGAACTTACAAAAGAAATTAAAATCATGTAGTGGATTTGAAAATATATGCATTTAAATATAATGTACATGTGATGTTTCAAACACTGTGATTGAGTTTGGACTGTGATATTTAAATTATGATTTAATTACTATCTTGTTAACTCAACGATTCGTTATTGTTATCCCCCATATAAATAGCCTTAACAAATTATTTTTGAGCACTGACCATAGACGTACAGTCTACATAAACGAAACACATTCGAACATCCATAAATATTTTAATAAAACTTTAATATTTCATTGTAGATATAAACGAATTATAAATATTTATTTATTAATGTTAAAAATATCAGTGCCCTGTAGTCTGAAAACAATGAAAGTATATACCAACACTAATACACGTAAGAACAATTAATATATTACCACCCCACCAATTAATTTATCAGCTAAAACAGATTTACATTAGTAGGTACCCACGACAATTAATGAATGTATTTCATTTATAACAATATCACAATTTTCAATAATATACAAAAAGACATAGGAGATATTTGATTACACTTTTTGTTAAACAGGCCAAGCTTATTAAAGTAATATTAATATGTGATATACATATTTAAACAACATTTTATTTGGTATTTACACGTCAGTAAAATATTAAAACAATTAACCACATTACAATGCAGATCGCTCAAAACGGGACACAAAAAGGAGTTTTATAAAAGATGATAAGACCGTACATTTTATTATAAACCATAGCTATACCTATATTAATTCCATTTTAGAACACTCATCTCCTAAACGAACATGCTTTACGTACTTCGAGCATTATCCTATACACCATGCAGTTAACAAATGACCAGAAACAGTTTTGTCTCATACATGTCACTCAAGACCCTTAATTCTTTAGATACACAATTCCGACTAACTCGACGAGAAGCAATGAATACAAACAAACGAAGGAAATAATTTACATAAGGCCATATATTATTTACTGTACACGCATAACGAGTAGATGATTAATTAGATAAATAATTATGCTGCATTATTATTAAGGGTTAAGGATTAATGCATCCGTAATTACGGCAGTTTGGTCCATATAAATATTATTACATAAATCGTGTTATCGATGCTACCACCGGTTTAGGTACCCAGTCATAAAAGTATAAATTAAAATGATTTAAGAATCATTTCAGATGAACACTTCCAAGAATTCCATTTAAATATATAATAGAGTTATAAATTAAATTTAAGAATCGGTTATTCTGCAACTTAGTATAATTTGATTATTATTCGTAATAGAACAATTATATGAAATTTTAAATAATTCGATTACATGGAGGGTGATATATCGAGATGTGATTAAAATCAAGTTCGCGATAAATATCTGAGTACCTAAACGAGGGTGGCACTCGCGGCGCCCGCGGCCGCCTACGGTCAGTCTTTTCAGCTAATGTTTACGAATTTGTGCAAAATATTCTATTATCCGCGTAACTTAACACCGTAATTTATTTACAAAACGTCTCGCAAACGAGACTGTACGAAATGAAACGAACGAGCACTGACCGGGTACCGCCGGAGCGCCGGGGCTTGTTCGTATATAGTCGTCTCATTCTGACGCGCAGCGCCGTGTATGTCCATCTTGCTCGCACTGTTCTATCGAAGGCTCGCCTGGAAATGTGAAAGACTTTATAGACCTCGTTAGATCCAGTCTCAGTCACCAAGTTGCCACGGTTTGTTTCGAAGGGTTGGTATTTAGAGGGTTCACGAAGGTCCCTGGCCTCCGGTCGGTGCTTCCGCTCGCATTTCGGATTTGAGCTTCACGAATTCCCGAGCTACTTCGTCGCTGTGCCTCTGCGAAAGTATTCTGAGGATGGTCCATCCGGTCTCATCCATTTTGACGCGAGTGCCTAATGGAAGCCAGCATGCGCATGAACCCTGGAAAAATAATTAGTTTCATGTTACTCATTAATCTGTTAACTGATATCTTGATATTATTAAAATCACCCCAATATTGATTATTTGTTCAAAGCAGAACATAAGCTGGTCTGCTCTGGAAACTAATTTCGTACCAATAACAATAAACCTTTCCTTTTAGTACCCCTTTTAAATTACTGAATTATATATTACTGACATATTAATTGCGAATTTCTTATGAATTAATAAAATAATTCTTTTTTTTAAGTTCATAATCGATTGCACTATTCTTTTGAAATCGATATTAAGCTTTACTCTAGAGCGTACCGACTGTTCTTTTTACTATTTGGGCTGGAACATTTTCAGTATGATGAGATATGAATGTACAATACATGAATATACAGTAGAATCTATTATCTGACAGTGAGTCCTACAAAATAACGTATAACCTTTGTTGTTTAACATAGAGTACAATTTTCATAAATAAAGAAAAAAACGTCACCATGGGATACATCGTTATATAATCCTTCCTTTTGCTAAATAACAAAAAATATAGTTATTTCTTTAAAACAATGTAAGTGTTAAAAGACCTGTTCAGCGATATCTGCGAGGCGCATAACAGCGACACCAACAAGTCGATCTTCGCGTGCGAAGCAGTAGTCTCGCACGCACACGTGTAGCTCGAACAACTCCAACTGTTCCGTCGCGCTCACCATACTGTAACAATATCATTAGTATATTTAAAACTGCAATAAGTTTTATTACAAAAATAAAATGGTGACGAGGTAAAAAGTGACTGTTTGTGTGTCACAGTTTCACGGAAATAAACGGTAGGTAGAGCTTGGATGAAATCACAGAATGTGTAGTTGAATATCAGATAGCATACATACTAAAGAAAGCTGAGATAAATATCTCCTAAAAAGGGGAAATAAATACTGTGTTAAATAATATATAGCGTTGCATATATAGTTTATTCTTGTTGTTTCACTAATCAATAGACATGTATTGATTAATGTAACAACAAGAACAAGAGGTACACAGTCACAAAGCAAGAACAACAGTAGTTTATAATAAAAAAGTGAAAATATGGACTGCCTCGCAGACTATAAATTAAGGTTGTAACCCATGTCTAACCCATATGTTGTTTACCACCAGGTAACATGTTGAGCGGAGCGCGTTTTTTCTTGCAACTCGACCTTCACTGATCGGATTTTTTTGTGTCTTTAGAGATTCAAAGTACAAAGACATCCTTCGATGAAATTTTGGTCTCGATCAGTCAAGTCATTTCGGAGGAGTATCGTTACAAAGTGCAAATCTGATTTCTATAATAAAATAGCTCCGCACTCCAATAAATAAAGTCTGTAAAACCAGTATAATACCAGAGTGGGCAATTGCCGCAAATAAGACTGACATGACGATGCATACAAATCCGGATTGGCACTCATCCGAAATGTCAGATTTTTAAATTCTTACGATTAGTTAATATGGGGATCCACTGGGGCTAAACCATGTTTAAGTCTGATTGTATTTACATTTACTGCATATTTTTTATTATAATTATTGTAAGCTGACACTAAATTATAAAGGTTCGGAAAATAAATTTAAGTTTCTTTTAAAAAGTTTCAATTAAATACAATACTCACAAGTGAAAGGTTTCGTTAAACTTGGGACTCCAATTGTTGCTCTTGGACTTGGTCGCAAACTTCCTCTTCTTATCGGCTAGATGGGGCCCAATGAGATTCACTTCTATGAACGGACGGAACATTCCACTCGCTATAACCCATTTGAGATCGTTTGCTGCTACCACTAGAATTGAAGAAGTGTCATCTTGTGAAAGTGTTTTTGAAATTTTATTAAATTCGGTGACCCGCGCAATAATGTAGGTCATCGTTTTTACAACATTTTTTAGCTCCGTTCCTATTGGTCAGGTGTTATATATATTAGTATATATCTACCGTCATCACACTTTTTATTATATATATATATATGTTCAAAACATCAAAAATTTTTAGTGGTTGTTAACCCATTCTCACGGACCAACGACGACTAAATTTTCAAAATCAGATCAGTACTGGTTGGTAGAGTATCCCGAAGATACAAACTGACAATCATTACCCCTTTATAATATTAGTATATATTTCAATTGTATTAAAATTATTTTTTGAGCATTGTAAAATTTGGTGATTATATGAGAGCACTGAAGTAAATAATTTTAATTAAAATCTGATAAAAACATCACGTAAGAAATATAAAAAAAAAACATGAACAATTTGTATTTTGTTCGTTCTTTGTGTTTAATATGGAATAATTTAATTTATAATTATTATAATGAGAGTTTACCTTTCACAGTGATCTTATGTTCTCCAGTACCAGGATGTGTGAACAGATCAACCTGCAGAGACACGCTGCCTTCTTCTGCAACCGCTGCGTCTATATAATAATGGAAATAAATATTAAGTCTAGAGAAAAGCATTTATAAGAATAGATACATAATAATATCGTATATATAAGCGATGTTCGTTTTAAATATTGAAGATTCAATAGTACGACCAATTATATTATCTGTGGTACGACTATGCAAAATGAGAATTAGGTAAGTACCTATTATATATTTATTTACTTGCACCTAAAAACCTTATTACTTAATACTTTTTAGAGAAACCGCTTATAAGTATTTAAAAAAACTCAGCAAATGAGATTAATTCTCAACTTGAAACTCTTTTAATTTAAAGACACTGTTAACAGCTTGGTTTTATCCTTTAAAAATATGGAAAAATCAAGTATAATAATATTTATTTTAAGTATAATATTATTTTCATTTAAGTATAATAATATTTGTGAAATATATATAAGATTATTAATTAGGTATATTTATTTCACGAAGATTGTACAACAAAGATTCAACCAACCTTGATTCTGCTGACTGGTGACAAATGTCCGGATAAGTGTGTCAGTAGTCTGTGTATACAGACTGAGAGCATATCGTAATGATTGTAGTTCCGGGCTCTTTTCCAGAAAGGTCTTCTTGAGACCGTTGCCACCTGCATGGAAATATTGCTTGATGGTGTCCAAAGCTGCGTCTAATACAGCACATTGTTTTGGTGTTAAACTCTTCTCAGCAGACAGATGCTGAAATGATAAAAGCATATCAAGTTTTCTAACATGACAGACGTAATGAAAAAAAAATTATGCTTTTATGTTTTACCGAGGTGGACTTTATTTACTATTAATTATATTATCTGTGCTATTACTTACTACTTTATTATATTGACAATCAATAAATTAATCATCTGCAATATTACAGGATATAGACGCATATAAAGGCAATGTATTGTATGAGCATACTATATCCGTCACATAACGTTGTTATATCGGTATTTATATGTCAGCCAATGGGTGCTTTCCATTAGGTGGTCAGACTGATTGCCATTCGAAATTTCATTTCTTTTAACAACTAGTAATTAGAAGTTTTTAAATTAATAATAATAGTAATATGTCCCAGAGATTCTTATTAGTAAACTTTACGTGAACACTATTAGTAGTATAGTATAGTAGGTACCTCTTTAGATATATCCATAACCCCGGAGAGTGCATGCTTGACATCCTGTTTACCGACTGTGCTCTTAAACAATTGCGTCATGTCTTCAATCTTCGCATTCGCCGCCAAATTCTTTGCGTTGTTAGTTAAATTCTTAAGCATCATCTGTTATAAAAAGAAAATAAATACAGTCAATTAATGTAACACCATTAGCATGCTTTGCTGATGTATTATTTTAATTATATGTGGCTAGATCGATATATTGATCGAAGTTGTTATAGTACAGTATTGAGCTGTGGGATAATATACATATTAATTATCTGCAACTTCATAAATAAAAATAAGTAAGTTTTTTCTCTATTATGCGTTCTTGAACTATTAATCTAATATTGATTAAACTTTTGTGATATAGTCATTCGTAAATCATTTATCAATAATACAATAACTCTGCAGTACGGGTGCTAGAATAGATCACTAGAATAATGATAAACAAATAAAATATTATAGTAATATTATACCTAAAAGAATAAGCAATAAGTATATTAAAGTAGAATGTAATGCAATTACCGTTTTATCAGTCATAGGTGGAAGCACAACAGTTTTCTCTAGAATCTTCATAACGATCTTCCATAATTCCTTGAGCAGTCGTTTGAGAACAGTCTTTTCGCAGGACTCGGCGTACATTGTCAATGAACCGTCCTAAAAATAATTTATAATTACAAATTGTTCTCTATTTTTTAATAGATAATAGTTACTGGAGATTTTTAATCGTTATCAAACATTTCTATTCAAGTTGCCTCACATGGAATGTTATTGTCACTTCATAAGATTGATAACTACAAAATATCTTTTTAGATTATTCCAAGTAAGTATTGTCTTAAGCAAGGCCATATAGTGGAATCATCAATAGAAATATCAATGTGTGTTAAAAAACGAAAATAATTTAAGAACACTATTTTAGATATCACAGTAGTTAATTTTTTTATTGTTGATAACAAAACAAGCTACGGTAGTGGGGCATTAAATAACCACATCTCATTATTTCTAAAGTTAGCAAGGGAGGAAATAATGTAGTAGATCTATCGGCGTCATCATATCGTTGTTACAGATTTAGCACACCACGTTACTTCCGATGATCGCCGTACGACGAGTTGTATATAAACATAACATTGATTCCATTAACATACCTACCTACATATATACTCATGAGTATGATTGTTTTTATTGATCTGGCTGTTCGCTAATGAACCTATTTATAAAACAAATAAGTATTTATATTTCTAATAAGCACCCATAACATAAACGCTGCTTCGTTTTGGCCTATGGCGCGGTGTGAATTCTCCTAGATTGTTATTTTCAGTTCTTATTACTTACCAATATATCCATGAGTGGTCGCAGTACTTCGTCAGCTTCGTGGTGTGCAGGTGGCTGTGGAGCACCAGGGGCACCGCCACCTCCAACCTTTTGCAGGAGCTCGCCCAGTTCTTTCACACTTGCAGTGATGCGAGTCTCCAGGCTATTGTCATAAATACATATTATTTTACATGTGGAGAAGACAAATGATTACTTATGATTTCGGATATAATATTTATTTGGTGTTATATACACTATAATATGTTTAATAGGGATTTCATCAATGCGAAATCTAATTGTAAATTGAACTCTATTTTCGGGAATTATTCTGTTATTTGTACCATTCCATCTCAACAAGGTGCCGGGAAAGAATTTCATCTGAGCGGGTACATGTATCTATTTTGTTTTTGACACGAAGCAGAGAGTAAATTGTGTTTCAGTTAATGGGTACGATGTGGCAGTGCAATTACACGGAGTATGAAGGCATTACTTACTTAGTAAAGCATTAGATTATGGTTGCAGTCTTTTCCAGTGCATCATGAATCAAAAGAATTATCCCGACTGCCATAAAAGCTATGTATATAAGTATGCAGCTCGTATTATATGTGTTTTATTGACAGGATAGTAACCTGTTATTTATTCGTAATAATGACTTTTCCTAGTAGCAAAAACCAATATTAAATGTTCAGCCTATATTTCAAGATTAAAAATTATAGTTTAATATTTATTTAATTTAGTATATTTACTAATAAATATGATATAAAAAAATCCTACAGTATTTTAAACGTACCTATTTGCAAACATGCAGGCGAGTTCATCAAGCGTGCTGTTCAGACTTTGCTGTAGGTCATTCAAAATATCGGCTGCATCACGCTCCAACTTAGGCCCTCCCATTGCTTCAAACATCTTCTCCAATTGTACACGAAGTTGTTGGATATTATTCATCAGGATACAAGCCTGAGAAAATAAAATATTGAGTATGTTAAATTTCAATGCGTTTATTAGGTAGCCCACTATTTCTTTTGAGATATTTATGTTATTTAGAGTTAAATATAGCTTTCGTTAGCTTTTTCTTTCTCAAGAAGAAACGAAGAAGACAAAAGAAAGAGACAGAGAGAAAAGAAGAAGACAATATTATTAACCATGAGAATACTGGTAGAAGTCACTCCATGTATTGTATTATAATGTACATATACTAGGTAATTTTACAAAGTCGTACCTGTGTTACCAATTTTAATTTTGGTTGGAATTTCAGTTTAAAATATTGTAGAATAAATTCGGGGATGGGAGCTTTTATTTATGAATGTTTATAATTAAAATTAATAATAAAAATAAACTTAGATGTAAGCTAACGTAAACCTATACATATTGAAAATTATTTATTGTTTCTAGAAAAGAAAAAAGAACAAAAACTTGACATACCACTCTCTCTTCTTTCAAATGTTCAGGGAATTCCTTCTTCACAATATCAGCATATGCCACCAGAACTTTCACAATGGTTTTCGCGAATCTCTTCATATACCGTTTCCAGATCTCAGGATCTGGACACTCCAACTTGGAGACCACGTCGAAACACTGTGTAAGTTGCGTAAAGACATCCACAACCGAATTACTGAAGAGTGCGTGTTCACTGGATTTTTGGAACTAGAAGAAGAAAATTATAATTATTAAATTAACTATATTGACACATTTTAATGCTGTATTTTAATAATGTCTCTTATGTTCTTATTAATAACATATGATTTGATCTATTTTTGCATATTGCGAACCTTTTATCTGGATATATTTCTTTACCACTGATATATATAGGTAGAAAGTAAGTAAAAATAACTAAGAAGTTTCTTCATTTCACTTCACAATTATAGCATCCATTGACTTATAAAATTTTTGGCTCTTTGATAGTTTCTATTTACTCATAATAATAAAAACTTCTTTTAGGTAACATTTGTTAAAAGCTCAGTTTGTTTCTAATTCTGTCTTGGTTTATTTTAATTTCAAGTGTAGTAGAATCAATAGTACTTTAATTACGTTTATTTGAATAAAGATTGTTTCTGTTCTATTCTAGTTATATTAATAAAAGTTAAAAGCTAAGTTTCTTTTTAAATCTTTTTTAGTTTAATTTGCATTCAGAATGTAATAGAATCAATAGCATTTAAAATTAAGTTTATTTACTAAATATATTATTCCTAGTAAATTCTATTTTATAGTGTATTATGATGGTAGATATAGATAGATGATAGTTTTAGAATGAAAATAACAGACAAAATAGTATAAGGATGGTAACTGTAATTCATTAATATAAGTAAACTCACCCCATCTCGCTTATCTCTATTGAAAGCTCCATTGAGATACTCAAGCGATACGTCATCATTTTCGTTGAGCCACTGCATCACGAAGGGTTCAAACCACGCCGGGTATTCTGGTACCGCTCCGCAGTACGGCGGCACATCTTTCACGTAGTTCGTATGAAGCCATTTAACCTGAATAATATTACAGGTAATTAACAAAACACACTAAACGATTAATTAAACAATGAAGGTGAACAGTGCTAATTGTTCATGATATGAATTGAAGATGGAAATTAATAATTTGTGTTAACAGATTGACTTTAAAGTACACTATGGTTGAGTTTTTGGGCAATTCTAATCAACGAATACTGTCTTCAGAAGATGTCGATATGGATAAGAAATATAAAATATCATAGCTCAAGTGCTAAAGTGGACTATAATAAAAAAGAATATTAAGATGCTAAACGGCACAGTCTTTTACCTTAATAAGACTATTTTGATTAGAATTATAAAAACGAGTTTGCGACTGATCATAGTTCTAACAGTTTGTTTATTATGAATTTCTTTGGAATTTACACATTTTAATTATACTAAAATACTAACAGCACTATATTCTATAACCATAAAATGAATACATAGTACAGTGTACACATGCCGGGCTAATAGTATTTTTAGAGAATATTGTGGAAAGTGATAATGTGATACAGCTATAGTTAATGTCTGATATTTTTTTCATAAATACCTTGAAATGTAAGTTCATATAAGCGGAAGACTTGCACAGTCGGTGCTGTTCATGTTCCTCTAATGCATATTTCATATCCACCGCAAATAGTGACCACATCGTTGCGGCTGACAACTGTAAGTAAAACAAGTCACAATAAGTACTTATTACAATTAAAATATTTAATAATTAACTAAAACTATTTTGGTAAAAGAAATGGTAAACGAGCAGACGCCATATCTGAAATGTATATTGTTAATTCTATGGCATCTTAAATACGTTACATTCCTGATGACTAAGGTACTCTGTAATGATACTGCTATATTGAGATATAGCATTTGATTTGTAGCTGTTTTCCTGTTTAAGGAATGAATACCTTAAACAGGAAAACAGATTACAAAGCAACAGAAATAGACGCAACATAAGTATTCAGATTACTCTGGATAAAGTGTACCCCTGTAATTGTCGAAACTGTCGTAATTCACGAAAGTGTTCTTGATCGATCTCGATCGATTATAAAAGTAGTATATACAGGTACATAATTGCGGACTCAATATTTTAATATAATTTATTTGAGCAATGTCATAATAATCACATATTTATATATAACCAATAATCATACTAGAGATAGACTGTAAAGTTGTCTCGTGTGAACCTCAGTCTCACTTCTTTCAGCTGCCAAGCAGTTCACACTATTTCGGTTGTAAAATGCAATTAGGCAGTAAATTGAAGTATGATGAATTACAACGTCAATATCTGTGGTATTATTCATTAATATATATAGACGACGCCTACCGTTTCATTGTAGATAAATAATACGCAAATTATTTTTAGATAAATGTATTTTAATACGAATAATTTTATGGCAAATTTACTTCTCTCAAGGTTTCGACTACTTTGCACTAGGCGTGACCACGGGTCAACGGCACTAACTAGCCATAAAATTGTTCGTGTTAATACCCATTTAACTTATTATTAATAAGACACACACCTGTCCAATATTCAATTCCTGGGGAAATTGATTGAGGACGGGAGCATAACTGTTCCTATCCTCCTCTATCACAGATACGATGAGGGCAATGAGTTTGTGCCAGAAGTCCACCGAGTCCAACTGTGGCCCGTGATCAGATGGGTCGCGCTTGGCCTCGTTGGGATCCACCTGGTAGTAATATGTACATAGATATAATAACGATAATAATAATAATAGCCCTGGATAACTTGAGGGGAAGGGTATTGTTATTAATGTAGTAATGTGGACGGATGACCCTATAGCTAGCAATGTACGGTTAGGTCGACATTCACGCAGTTGTCCTTGGAAACCATAGTGATAAATTTCTGGTGAACTTATCACGATAGGCGGACCTGACCTTATGCTCATCTTATTCCATTGTCATCCATTAAAAAAACCTTGGACAATTCATATATAACATATAGTCCCAAGTTATAGGTACTAAACAACTGACAGAAATACTTAGATACATTTTTGTAAATACATCTATAATAGTATTTAAATACCAATTATACTCAAGAATACAAATGTTTGCACAGTACGAGGAATCGAACCCGCCGCCACTGGCAGCATTGCGGTGTGTTCAACCGTATTACTTCCAGTAGAAGCGGGAATTATTACTATATATCCGTATTAAAAAAATACATACACAATATCAAGTCAATCTACATTTGATTCATTAGTTCCTAATACCTACTTAATTACCTTGAATTAATTTCTTACGTCTACTTATATTACAATTTAATTTTACCTGGAACTCTCTGTTATACAGCTCATAACAATTTTCAAATAGAAACTGATATGTTGATCTAAGGCAAGCCTTCACGCAGTCTTTGACTACCGTGCTGGCACGGGGTGGGCTGCTAAGCTCTTGGACCTAGAAAATACACGCAAATATGAATAACTTAAATTAAAATAATATAAGCACCCTATTTATACTAAAATAACATTCATAGTTAATTCTAGGTTTTGTAAGGGTTCACGCAGTCCTTATGACAATTAAACCAATATTCATAATAAAATCGATCGTATATAATATTAACTAAGCTGTATTGATTCAAGAAATGAAGAGTTCGTTTTTATGGGGCTCGAAGTTGGGACTTCCATATAACGCTTTAATGATTAATTTACCCAAAATAATGCTCGCTTATATGATTGTCGTGATAAAAGTATTGGTGTTACAATTATACAGTATTACAAAAAAAATATTATCTCCTCAATAATAAAATCTTAAATTAAATATTCAGTAACATCATGTTCTCTATTAGAATCAAGATAATCCATAGTAGTACAACGGACATGTATCAGATTTTATAAAAAAAATATGCGAGAAAACAAAATTACCCTTTGCCCTAATATATTATTAGACAAAAATATTTTAATAATTATTAATATTTAACCGTGAAGTGATTAATATAAAAACTATTATAAAGTTCGAACTAAATAATATGCAGTTAAACTATTCCTTTATAGTTTGTAACTGCATATTATTAAGTTTGAACTTTATAATAGTTTTTTTTTAATTAGGTGGGACATTCTTACTGGCAAAGGAATATTCTTAAACAGTAATTTAATCATAGCTACATAAAGTGTGTATATGTAAATAATAAAGTTTTACCTTCATTCTGAAGAAAGTTATGCTAGTCAGTAGGTCTACAGTAGACTTGAGGTCCATGAGCTTCTCAGCGCTGGAAGCAGGGAAGTTATTTCTGTACATCGACAGATCGATGCGCAGAGAGTTATGCAGCTGATCCAGTAGTTTGACGAATTTCTCTTTCTACAAAAAAACATTAATATCTTTAGTAGTAATTGTAATACTAAGTAGTATATTAAAACCTTATGTATAATTTTATTATAGCATGTAATTTTTAGTAAAGTTTAATGGTGATTGCCAAACGCTACGTAACAGATAAACGTCTACGAATTTTTTTTTTAATTATAATTATGATTCTTCAGTATACTATAATTTTTTTTACATTTCATGATGAACATGAATTCTTTTACAAATATTTCAAATATCAGTTTACGTAATGATCCCATATTAGAAGATATGACTTATATATGACATGATTATTCTTACATTTAGAAAACCAGAGTAACGGTAGCTTTCTTTTCTTTCTAGCATATTTCTAAAAAAAACAGTAGATATTGAACTAGTATGTTTATAGTTTTATTAATTAAAATGTTGAATATTATATTAGTAATATAAAAGATTCTTTATAAAAATACAACTAGTAAATTTATATCCAATGACACAATAACTTAATATTCTCACCCCAAAGTTGGATGCAGCGAATCTGTCAGAAGCTGAAACAGCGGATGAAGCAGTGGTATGAGCGTAGTATGCGTTGATATTAGCTAATAACGTAGACATTACAGCTGGTACGCCCGCGCATAGGTATTTCGTAGACAAGCAATGAAAATGTCTGGAAAAACCAAGTATTTTATTAAGAAATAACATTCAATAATTTCTCTTGCGAATACATTGAAAATCAGCTTCTATTATAGGATGTAAATATTTCAATTTACTAAAGAAATTTTTTTCGGATAATAGTTGGAGAGATCGATTCCAATTTAGTTTTACCCGTGGGGGGGAAATTATACGTATTGTTTGCTATATAAAATGTATGTCTGGAATTTTATTTACTAAAATCTAAGTGATGATTTTTTTTAAACCTAGTAATTAAATTAGATACAATCAGACTGGCGTTCGTGTAAAAAAAAGTAAAATAACTCGGAGAAACACCGTTTTACACAGTTTTCATCTTTGTACTTCATTATATAAACGAGATGTTGTGATAATATTATTTAAGTAAAGCTTGAGAACTAAAATTTTAAAGCTAAATATTCCATTTGCTAAAACTTGGGAGTTCTAGTCGACATACACATCAGTATGAACAATATCTGTAAATTCCCTAATCAGCAAATTCCTTTTTGCATTTTAAAGCTAAATATTAGTGATGGACCATTTGCTATAATATATATATTCCGGGGCAGTTCTATATTATCATCACTACATAGATAAAACATACACATCTTTAAAACTCAGTATGAACAATATCTGTAAATATATATAAAACCCTAATCAGAATAAATAATTGATAAAGAAACTTACGTCATGGCTTGATAAATGGCTTCAATGCCATATCTCATTGCGAACTCGTCTACTATCTCCTCCGGGTTCTCGTTGAAATACACTTTCCAGGCATCATCACCTCTAGCCGCGGGTAGAGTTACCGCCCCACCATTCTCTTCGCATAAATAATGGAACAGGTTCTCGTGAAGGCAGGTGTACTGTAAATAAAAAAAAATGTATTTATTTTTCCAATTTTTTATGTAACTGTATGGCCCGTCTAATGAAAAGTCCGAGGTAAGAGTATGAAGTCACACCTTGTAATATCACTACCTTAACTTCGCAAGCGCAACACACCTTACAAACAAAGATGCTTGACGGCTAAAAGAGATGAGACAAAGATAACAAATCCATTATTGAAGGTAGATCCAAGTGTTAATATAGATAATAGGAATGAATAGATAAATTATTTGTTCACAAATTACATAGTTAAAATATGGTACAAATAGAAGAGCAGGTAGTTTTATGTGCGACTATGGTGAACAAATACAAAGTTCTTATTACGATCATAATTAAAGATACTTAAACAATATAGGTATATGAAAGTTCTACGTATTATGTAGGAGGATATACGTAGGAGTTCTTAATCATTCTTAATGTTTATAAGTATGCGTACGTAAAAGAGCGACTATCTATTTTTAACCGCAGATATACTTTAGACTTTAGTTTAAAGTTTCAAAACAAACATATCATATACATTCCAGAATAAAAATAGTAAATATTGTGTTTGATAAATCAAGTACGTTTATTAAAATCTTTTCCAAATTTTTTATAACGTCTCGTATATGTAGTAGCCAAGTCAAGGCCAAATGAGTTATCGACGATTGAAAATTATACATTTTTGTTTATTAGATACAATACTAATGCATGAAGGGTATCACGTGCATCAGACGATGACGATGATGTGTATAGTGTATCTAGAGACGGGCAATCACGATGTTTCTCATACCGTTTAAAAAAAAAACATTAACCTAATTAATTTTTGCGCTGAAATATGATTCTTTCCAACCTAACATTTTTTTTAAATATTGAATGTTGTTGAAAAACATAGATAAATGATTAAAAACTTTTTCACCTCCGATTTACAATGGTAACGTTTTCAATTCGGCGTTTCCCAACGACCGCACGGGAAATCAGAGGCAAACGAATGCTGAATAAATTGGATTTTCTCGGCTTCGCTGACGATCGGCACAAACTTCGACAGTGATTAATATTTGACAGTTTTCCCTCCTAATGTCTGTTTGAAAATGTTTAGCGTTGATTACGTATATATTATTTAATGGTGATGCAGCTGGTGATTTTATTCCATTCTGGTAGACATATTTTTATCTTCACATCTATTTTTTGCTTAAGGAATAAAATAAAACATCATCATTGCTTACTATAATATTAGTATATTACTTAATTCCTTGCGATTAGATTGGACAATGCACCAGCAACTATAGGTATAAATATCTACCTTCACCGAATGGAAGACTGCAGTAACAAGCAATCTACAATTTACTTTAATGTTACTTATTAAATAAAACCATTAACTTTCGTAGCGGTAGTGTGAGTTGTTTACTGAATTCAGAAAATAAAATATTTTTTGCAAAAGCATTTCGAGCGCAGGTGTTCCCCTTAATCATTTTTAATCTCATTGCTTTGTGAGGATTACGACACTGTGGTACTACACAATTAAATATTGTTTAGAACAAAACAGCAAAGCAATTATACTAATGTACTAGACAATTTATTATGTTTAAGCATTTATTTTTTAATATTTTTAAGACGATCTTGGTTATGTAGTGGCTCAGCATACTGCCTTAACTTCCGACGGTAATAAATTCGATCTTCACAGAATACATACGTTTGCATACGTGAATATGACTGTTTTTATTTATCTGTCTAATTCTATATATGAAAAAACATTTTAAAAAAAATTAAGTTTAAAAAAAATTGTTTTGGTAGATGTCTTTAGTACAATATAAGCTTATTTTAGGAGTAGACATTGATGTTTAAGTTAAATTATTCATTAATATTATATATATGTGCCAATAAAATTCTACCTATAATATTTTCAATTAAAATTTTCACAAAGATTTATTTAGTTGACAGAATCCTGAGCCGTCCATTAACCGACTTAAACTTAAAGGTTGTCTTAAAGTATTATAACTCCGACGAGCCTGTTTTCTTTCCCAAAAGGGTTGATTGTTTACATTTTGTGCTGGGTTGAAAAAAAAACAAACAACGAACGTAAACTCGGTCGTTAAGATATATTGGCTGTTTGTTCGTCGACGTAACCGCATATCATCGGTCAGGGACATTTTAAGTATTATTTTCGTATTTTGGTAAGAACTACGACAGCTCTAGTCGTTATGTATATAAAGTTTTATATATTTCTATCAGTCGTCTACTACTTATAGCACAAGCTCTTATTTTGATTATTATTATACTTACTGGTTTTTATGTAACTAAAACGATAAACAGGCTGACCACCTAATGGTCAGTAGTAACTGTCGCCTATATACATCATTAGTACTACATATATCAAATTTATGTTTCCTCCCTTTTTTCAAAAAATGCGCATGGTAATTGAAATCTAACTCTTATAGAATATCATGTAGAAGAAAAGGTTTTTAATACGAACAATTTATTGGCAAACTTCTCTCCACGTTTCTACTAGGTTGCACTAACCGTGCTCACGAGCTTACTGCAGTATAGAGATGTCAATGTCAATATGTAACAGCAGCACTTATAGTATCCGTACACTTTTTGATTGATGCTACCAAACTTTGTTTAAACTAATATCTTTGAAAATGATGTTAGCAATCTGCCTCATACGATACATTGCTAACTTTATTTTGAAAGATATAAGTTTTTAAATATGAAAAAGAAGAAACGCTTTTAACCGTAATGGAATTGATTTTCATGCATGAGGAAACAGCTACTGTAAAATAAATTATAGGTACTTATAAAAAGACATCAGCGAAATGACAATGTGATTGAAAATATTTGTCATGCCCGCTGAGAACGCGGTGCTCTTACGAGATTAATTTGTAATTACATTACCTAATATAAATGAAAATATCTAAATAAAATTACGTAGTACATCACAGGATACTGTACAAGTAAATAGCCACTTTACATATATTAATTACTTATTGTTCTTCTAGAGTAGTTATCTTGAGCTAAAAAAATCCTACTTCTTATTAGATTAGATATTTGTGTTACTCTTTCACGCAAAACCCGCTATACAATTTTCTAGAATAATGATTAGATTAAGATTAGAAAAAACAAATGATTATTCTAGATTAATAAATAGGATAAAATTATACAGAACATTAAGATTTTTTTTTACTGAATTCACGCAAACAGCGCATGACACAGTAATTAATATAAATATTAGATTTATCTAAAATATAATTCTAAACGTGAAACTAGAATGAAATTTTATATGTCGTTCCTCTTATTATAACTAAACAACGAGGCGCGGCGGTTCAAGAACAAAATTAATTAATAATTAACAAATGAAGAGTCATCAAGTTGTTGAAAAAAGGCAGTGTCGAGACCCTAGAGCATTTTAATTAATCTTAGTATCTGGGAGGTCTCATTAGAGCTCCGACATTCACTGGTTCCTTTACAGGAAGGGAATATTTGGGTCATCTCATGAAAAACATTTTAGGTTTTATAATAATACCTAGCGACCCGCCCAGGATTCGCATGTATATGTCGAGTTATTTATACAAATTCTTAATGAATTATACTCTTATAATTATCTAAAACTTATTCTTTTGATGTATGAAAATATGTGGAATAGTTTTTGAGATTGTCGCGGATTTTTAAATAAACTTATTTAAAAATTAGACTGTAAAATTATACACCAAGAAGAAAGAAACCAATTGTCTGATCAAAGCATAGCTATAACTGATTAGTCAAGAAATACTAAAATGTAGATAATAAAGTATTTGTATGAAACTACGGGCAACTTATACTACTTACGTAAAAAAAAATTCTGTCAGGGTCCTATTCTAAATTTTTACGCAAGGTACTCGTAATTGTCGGGTACAGCTGTCCTACGGAGTTTATTTTTGTATTTCGTCACTTTTATTTTATATAAAAAACGTAGGAAACTTACGAGGGTGAGTGAAAGAGCCTGTCGGGAATAAACTTTATTGAAACTGATAACAAAATATAAACAGAAAGATACGTCTTTTTAGGGCCCATTTCCTTATTACCAAGCGCGTACTCATTCTGAATTGTTTGTTGGATCCGTATAACAGAATGCGATTTTTTATGTTGTATAGTCTATAGACATGTAAGTATAACATAGACTATTATATTTATATAAATCATTATGTTTATTGTCCATGAAACATTGACTCGAGTACGAGGCAAATACTAATATGTTATACTCTATTACCACAGGTTTTTCGAGGAAATAAAAGACATGCCATACGTAATAATATGAAAATTCGAAACCATAATTTGATGGCCATCGCATTATTACCGATGATTGCGGGTTGATTTTTTGGCTGAATATTTTCTATGCATGTTATATAAATATATTTCAATATTATATTTCTATCACTTGTTTATTACTGCTAGTACAGGTTCAGGGTTTTGTATGTAATACGAGGTACGTGTTAATAGTATCTGCTCAAGCACAGAAGAAACGCTCCCGGAAAACGATTGCATTTTCATTGTTTATGGGTTTACCGCCATTTTGACTGCGCCATCTTTTATCATGAGATTACTATTGCAATCTCTTCTCTATTGAATTCTTGAGCAGTCGATATTGTTTTGTTCAATATTAATCATAACGGGCAACCGTGTGGGCAGTGAACGGAAACTTACAAGCCAAGTCTTATGTGACGTAACCTAACCCCAAAGTTAATGGGGTCAATCAAAAGATGGGGGTCTCAACCTACAAATTAAGTATTTATAGGGGTTTATTGCGGTTCCCAGGGCAGTTTAGCTGTACGGGACGACCAGAGCTTAAATTATTAAGGTTCAATTTGCGGACGTCACTTCTGATTACCTGTTGATCGAGGATATGTCCAGGTTGTCATGTCTCTAAAAATATAAGTGGCATTTTAAGTTTTAATTATAATCATTAACATTAAAATAATCAAATAGAATTAAATTATTATGAAAAATTAAAAAAAAAATAGAATAAACC